TGATCTAAAGTTACTAATCAGTCAACCATGTGGAACCTTGTCAAAGGCTTAACTAAAGTCCACATATACAACATCTACCACTCTGCCCTCACCTACTGTATATGTTTGGAGACATCTCCAATACTCAATCAAGTTTGTCAGACACGATTTCCCATGCACAAAGCTATGCTGACTATCCCTAATGAGTCCAAATGTATGTAAATCCTATCTCTCAGAATACCCTCCACTTGAGTCAGACTCACTGGTCTATAGCTCCCAGGCTGCTCCTTACAGTTTTTCTTAAATAATGGCACAATATTAGCTACCTTCAATTCCTCCAGCACCTCACCTGTGCCCCCATATTTTCCTCCCTAGCTTCCCACACGTCTTGGGATACCCTTGATCAGGTCCCAGAGGTTTATCCATCTTTATGTTTCTCAAGACTTCCAGCACCTCCTCTTCTGTAATATAGATTTGTAATTAGTTGTAGTTTTCCAAAAATCCTTGGATCCTGAGTAAGTACCAAAGGATTAGAAAACTGCTAATGTGGCACACCTATTCAAAAAGAGAGGGAGGCGAAAAGCAGGTAACTATCGTCCAAGATAACAAGGCGTAGAGCTGGATGAACGCAGCAGGCCAAGCAGCATCAGAGGAGCAGGAAAGCTGACGTTTCGGGTCTGGACCCTTCTTCAGAAATGAGTCCAATTAGCCTAACATCTATTGTTGGAAAGTATCGGACGCAATTACTAAGGAAGTAATAGCTCAACATCTGGAAAATTATAATTTAATCAAGCAGAGTCAGCATGGCTTTATGAAAGGGAAATTGTGTCTGATTAATTTATTACAGTTTTTTTTAAAAGACATTCTCTCAACCAGAGTGGAAAGAGAAAAACCAGTCGATATGTTGTATTTGGAATTCCAAAGGGCGTTCGATAAGGTACCTTACAAAAGGCTAAGGCATAAGAGTCCACGATGTTGGAGGTAGTATTTTAGCATGGATAGGGAATTTGTGAATGGGCCAGAAACAATGAGTTGGGATAAGGAGATAGTAGGAACTGCCAATGCTGGAGAATCTGAGATAACAAGGTGTAGAGCTGGACCCTAAACATCAGCTTTTCTGCTCCTCTGATGCTGCTTGGCCTGCTGTGTTCATCCAGCTCTACACCTTGTTATCTCAGTTGGGATCAAGAGTTATTTTTCAGGTTGACAACCCTGTGACTAATGGGGTTCCATAGGGATCAGTGCTTGGACTGCATATATTCATGGCTTGGAAGAAGAAAGTGAATGTACTGTAGCCAAATTTGCAGTCGACACAAAAACAAGCGGAAAGGCAAATTGTTACAAATAGGTTATAGAGAGATATTGATAGATTAAGCAAGTGACAAAATGTTGGCAAATTTGGTACAATATAGAAATGTGAACTTATTCATTTTGGAAGGGAGAACAACAGAACAGAATATTAAGTTGGCACCCTACTCACTGAAGTTTAGAAGAATAAGAGGTGATCTCATTGTAACATATATGATTCTTAAGGGACTTGACAGAGTTCTGAGAGGATGTTTTCCCTCTTCGGAGAATCTAGGACCAGATGGAATACTTTCAGAATAAAGGGATGCCAATTTAAGACTGAGATGAGGAGGAATTTCTTCTCTGAGGTTTGAGAGTCTTTTGAACTCCTTGCCACAGAGAACTCTGGGGGCAGAGCTCTTGCATACATTTAAGGCTGAGATAGATAGATTCTTGATCAATAGGAGAATGAAGGGTAATGGAGAAAAGGGAGGAAAGTGGACATGAGGAGAGTCAGATCAGCCATGATCCTATTGAACGGTGGAACAGGCTCAGTGGGGCCGATTGGACTACTCCTATTCCATTTTTAAAAATTCATTAATGGGATGTGGGTGTCACTGGCCAGCCAGCATTTATTGTGCATCCTTCTGCCTTTGTGAACCACTGCAGTCCACCTGTTGTGCCTTGACCCACAATGCCATTAGGGAGGGAATTCCAGGATTTTGATCCAGCGACAGCGAAGGAACGACAATATATTTCCAAATCAGGATAGTGAGTGGCTTGGAGGGAAACTTGAAGGTGGTAGTATCCCATGGATCTGCTAACCTTATCCATCTAGATGGAAGTGATCATGGGTTTAGAAGCTGTTGCCTGAAGATCTTTGGTGAATTTCTGCAGTGTATCTTGTACATAGTACACACTGCTGTCACCGAGTATCAGTGGCGGAGGGAGTGGATGTTTGTGGATCCGGTGCCAATCAAGCAGGCTGCTTTGTCCTGGATGGTGTCAAGCTTCTTAAATGTTGTTGGAGCTGCACTCATTTAGACAAGTGGGGAGTATTCTAACACACTCCTGTGCCTTCTAGATGGCTTTGGGAGATCAGGAGGCAAGTTACCGGGTCTTGTAGCCACAGCGTTTATGTGGTGAGTCTGGTTCAGTTTCTGGTCAATGGTAATCCTGAGGATATTTATAGTGGGGGATTCAGTGATGGTAACACCATTGGAAATCAAGGGTTGTCTCTTATCGGTGATGATCATAGTCTGGTATTTGTCTGGCGCAAATGTTACTTGCCACTTATCAGTCCAAGCCTGGATATTGTCCAGATCTTATTATATTTGAACATGGACTGCTTCAGTATCTGAGGAGTCACAAACGGTGCTGAACACTGTGTAATCATCAGCAAACATACCCACTTCTGACCTTATGATAGAGGGAAGGTCATTTAATGAAGCATTTCTTATGGTTTTATGGTCTAAGGTATCTATAGATTCATGAAGAAATGCAACCATGTGACTTTAACTCAAAATTCATATGACACAGAACGGCTGCAGGAATTGTAGATGAGTCCTAGTCAGAATCAGAATCCCTACAGTGTGGAAACAGGCCATTCAGCCCATTGAGTCCACGCCAACCTTTCAGAGAGCATCCCACCCAGACCCAAGCCCTACCCAATTCCTGAATTCCTACATTTCCCATGGCCAATCCACCTAACCTACACATCTTTGGACTGTGGGAGGAAACCCATGCACCCAGTGGAGGCTCACATAGCCACGGAGAGAATGGCAAACTCTACATAGACAGTCGCCAAGGGTGGAATCGAACCCAGGTGCCTACAGCTGTGAGGCAGAAGTGCTAGCCACTGTGCCGGTCCAAAAATGACAAGTCTCAAATGGCAGAATGAGTTAAACCTTCTTAATTTATCAAAGGATAGCAGAATCTATTAATAATAATGACGTTAGCATAACATATTTGTTTTGAACTGTCAAGGAAACAGGAACCTGTGGCTATACTGGATTGGCAAAAGTGTTTTCCACTCCTTTTGGTTAGAACAGCTTGGGATGTCAAAGGAGCAAGACCCAACATCTGATCCCCCTCAACGTTTCTCTATTATGTCTTTGTCCACCATATCAATGTAAACTACAACTAGTTGCTCATGCTAAATAAACTCGATATTGTTAACTAAAAGAGACTTTTCTAATTGGACCAAGATGTTCTTTATCCCTCCCAAACTGGACAAAGCAGGTCCTATAGTTTCCTACACTTGAGGTGATGGTGGCAGAAACCTTCGTCATGAGCAGTAGGTTATACAGCACAGTGAGCTGGCATGGCCATTACCTGGATGGCATCAGTACAGATTTGACATAACCGCTTATACAACAGAAACAGACCTTTCTTTCCTGATCGGTCCTCCATGTGAATCCCAGCCCCACTGCAATGTGATTGATTCTTGACAACCCTCAAAACAGCACCAGCAAGCCACTCGGTTCAAGGGCAATTAGGGATGGGTGACAAACACAAGTTTTGCCAGAAACAACCACATCCCATTAGAAAATTAAGAAAAGCATTCTGGTACATTCCATGAACAGTGCCAGAAACAGGGATTCCACTGACTCTGGAGGAAGCTCCTCTAGTGTACACAGTGATTAGTTAGGGTCTGGAATGCACTGTCTGGAAATGTGATGGAGGCAGGTTCAATTGAGGCATTCAAGAGGATTTTGGACTGTTTGGATAGAAACAGTGTGTAGGGATATGGTGACAAAGGTAGGGGAGTGGCATCAGGTAATAGAACCGGTACAGACACGCTGGACTGAATAGCCTCGTTCTGCACCAAAACAATTCTGTGATTCTATGTTTAATTTTAATCACGAAGTCAACTAACTAAATGAAAACAGACAATGACATCTTAGCTCGTTTCAGGGTGTTTCATATGTGGGTAAGAGAGACTGTTAAATAGAATTGGCTTTTGCTCCTGGTGGTTGAAGCAGAAATTTTAGATGCGTGCTCCTGAACCAATGGGTACACCCCAGCCTTAACACATCACCTGAGAAACATCACTTCCCATAACTCAGCACTCCACCAGTACAAGCTTGAAATATTAACTAAAGATTATGTGCTCAAGCACCTTGAGTGGGACTTGAACTCTTAATCTCTGGGTTTAGAAGTGACAGTGCTGTTGATTGACACAAACGGATGCTCAGTTTAAACATTACAACACATGACTGCAAAATGTATTTATGTAGCACCTCTAATGTATCTTAGGCAAAAGTTAAACCTGAGCCAAGTAAAAAGATATTAGGACTGGTGATGGAAGGCTTCAAAGAAAATGGAGGAGAGTGAAGCAGTGAGTTTTAGGGAGGGTGTTGAAGAGTTTAGAGTTCAGACAGTTGAAGATATGGCAAGCAATGGTGGAGTGATTCAAATTGGAGATGGGAAAGAGACCAGAAATGGAGGAGTTTGCAGAAATAGAGGAGTGTTGAGCTGGAGGAAATGACACAAACAGGGAGGGGTGTAGGATCTGCAGGAGGTGACACAGACAGGGAAGAGTTTAGGGGCTAGACGAGGTTACAGAGAAAGGGAGGTGTGTAGGGGCTGGAACAGGTTACAGAGGTAGGGAAGGGTGTGGGATTTAAGGGAACTTACAGAGAAACCAGGAAAAGTTTCTCTATATAATCTAACAAAACATGAAATTGCCTCTTAACTTCCTCACAACAATCCCCAACCTCTCCAGTACTTACCCAAAACATTTACTGTAAACATGAGGACATCCTCAGCAGCATTGCAGACGTACTGTCCAGAATCTGACAAGCAGGCAGACTGGACGATGAGCTTCCGAACGTGGCCTGATGAATGGACAGAGACACGGTCACTCGGGGTGAGGATCTCTCCGTCTTTACACCAGTGGACCTCAACATTGGGCCTTGATACCTCGCAACAAAGGACAATCGACTCAGAGGCTGTGATCTGCTGCATGGTCTCCATCCCAGGACCCAGTGTGATCTTCACCGGGACAGCTAAACAACAACAACTTCTATTATAATGGCGCCTTTAACAGTATAAAACAACCAAGGCACAAAATTTGTCAATAACATAGATATTCAATTACTCTTTTCAATGAAAGTTAAAGCTGCCTCCACATTGTCCCCATCAAAGACTCCCAGGATAGGTATAGCATGGGATTAGAGTAAAGCCCTCCCTACTCTTTTAAACTGAAATTAAAACTTTCTCTACTCTTTTAAACTCAAAGTAAGCTAAACTAAAGCTCATTCGACATTGTCCCCATGAAACACTGCCAGGATAGGAAAGGTTTAGAGAGATATGAGCAGGAGCAGGCAGGTGGGACTAGATTAGTTTGGGATTATGTTCGGCATGGACTGGTTGGATTGAAAGGTCAGTTCCCGTGCTGTATGTCCCAATGACTCTATTACAGGTGCAGCTTAAGGTCAGATACAGAGTAAAGCTTCCTCTATGCTGTTTCCATCAAACACACCCATGTCAGATACAACATGGGGTTAAATTCCAAGTAAAGCTTCCACGACATTGTCATTAAATGCTGATTGAGCAGGACATGATCTTGGAGTTGGTTATCAAATTCAGCTTCTAATCCACTGAAATGATGTTTATGAATATTTTCAAAATGTGTTTTGAATTTTTCTTACGAAGGGGAAGGGAAGCTGATAAAAGAAGTTCCTCAAGGACCTAAACACAGATTTGGATTCTCTGGCTGATTCCTGTTCAGTCCCAAGGTCCATCCTTTCTATATGACTTCACCTTGGTAAGGAAGAATAGTGACGGTTATGTGTGAAAGGTGCAGAAATAGAGCTTGGTACAGGGCAGCTACAATCAAATTGAAGTGTGGAAGAGGCTCTAGGTTCTGAGTGTCCTTACAACAACTACTTTCATTTGTACAGCACCTAGGTAGTGGTGAAACCATCCCAAAGCTGCTTCACAGGAACTTTAAACAGACAAAAATCATCTCAGAGCCACATCAGGATATATTGTGGGACAGATGAGTAAAGCTTGCTCAAACAGGTTTATTTTAACAAACGTCTCAGAGAGATTCTGGGACAGATTCCACTGGTGGAAGAAAGGAAATCAGGTGTGAGAACTGAAGGAGCTCAAAGATCCAGGACAGTTGTGGGGCAAGATGAGATTGAGTCATACAGCATGAAAACAGCCCCTTCGGTTCAACCAATCCATGCTGACCATAATCCAAAACTAAATAATTCCCACCTGCCTGCACTTGGCCCATATCCCTCCTCACATTTTTTAATCATGTACTTATCCAAATATTTTTAAATTTTGTAACTGTACCTGCATCCACCACTTCCTCTGGAAGTTCATTCTACACATGAACAACTCTCTACATAAAAAAGTTGCCCCCATGTCATTTTTAAATCTTTCTCCTCTCACCTTAAAAACATGCCCCATAGTCTTGAAATCTCCAACCCTTGGGAAAAGACACCTGCTATTCACCTTATCTATACCCTTCATGATTTTATAAACCTCAATAAGGTCACTCCTCAACTTCCTATGTTCCGGTGAAAAAAGTCATAGCCTAACCAGCCTCTCCTCATAAGTCAAACTCTGCATTCCCGGCTACAACCTGGTAAATCTTTTCTGAATGTTCTCTAGCTTAAGAACATCCTTCCTATAACAGGGCAACCAAAACTGTACACAGTACTCCAAAAGAGGCCTCATCAACATCCTGTACAGTGTCAACATGACGCCCCAACTCCTATACTTAAAGGTCTGAGCAACTAACGTGAGTGTGCTAAACATCTTCTTAACCACCCTGTCTACATATGACTTCTCCTGTTTACCTGTTGAACTAGCTCAAAGGGCTGAATAACCTCATCTTGTTCCTGTGTAACAGTCTCAAAAAGACTGAATGGTCCCATCCTTTTCCTATGAAACAGGCTCCAGAGAGGCTGAATGCCGTCCTTGTGTTCCTGTAATTGGCTTGAGAGAGCTGCTCGCACACAGAGACTAGCCACCGGTCTTCATACAACTCTGACCTTACCTTTGACAAACAGAACGGCCGAGTCTCGCACTCCGTGAGCGACAAATGTTATCTCGGACTCATTCTCCTCCACTTTGACTCCTCTGATCAGCAATGAGTGACGTGTCCTAGACTGGTCGATCTTGAACCTTTGATCATTGTGAAGCTGTTGCCCCTTCATGTGCCATGTTCCAAGGACCGAGGTGGACAGCTCGATAGTGAACTCTGCATCAGAGTCCTGATACACCGTCATATCACTCAGGTGAGTCCGAATCCTCGCTGAAGGCACTGGAAAGAGAGAGGTGCAGTTTATAGACATGTCCTGGATGTTTGCCGGTACAGTACTGCTGACATGTGTGTCTCAGTGTCAGCTCCTGTATGTGTGCACAGTACTCTGTAGTTACAAGAGAATGGCTCTCCCCAATCTGGTACTGTGTGGCCTGTGTATTTTTAAAGTCTTACACAGCATATGGGTGTCACCAGCAAATCCAGCATTTTTTGCCCATCCGTCATTGTCCCTTGAACTGACAGGCTCACTCAGTCATGTCAGTGGACATTAAGAATCAACCATCTAGAGTCAGGGATGTTGTGTTGCTAGCTGAGCCAAAATTTATTGCCATATTCTAATTGCCCTGGAGAAGACAGTGGAGAGCTGTGTTGTACGCCAGACCAGGTAAGGACAGCAGATTTCCTTTCCTGAAGGACATTAGTGACCGAGATGGGTTTTTACAACAATTAATGATAGTTTCATGGTCACCATCACTATGACTGGATTTCAATTCCCGATTGTATTAAATTGAATTTAAATTCCACCAACGGCTGTAGCGGAAGTTGAACCTGTGTCTCTAAGGGATCAGCTTGGATCTCCACATTTGTCCTGTGACATTTAACATTGGCTTTGAAGAGTCTGGATCCTGTGATTACTCTCCATCTTACTTACTTTTCAACCACCAGCCTCTGTACTCAAAGAATCATCCTCTGCCATTCCCACAACCTACAGCAGGATGCCACCACCAAATACATCATCCCCTCCACCTCCACTGTCAGCATTCCGCAAGAACCATTACCTCTGTGACACCCTGGTCCACTCCTTCATCACTCCTAATGCATCCTCACATTCCCATGGCACTTTCCCATGCAATCATAGAAGGTATAACACTTGCCCATTCACCTCCTCCCTCCTCACTGTTCAAGGCCATGGTAAAATGCAGGGTTACAGGGACAGGGTAGGGGTGTAGTCTGAGTGGGATGCTCTTCGGAGGGTTGCTGTGGACTCGATGCTTCTGCCCCACAGAACGTATCTCTTCCAACTCGACACGATACTTTACTCCCTTGTCCAGTCCCTTCCCACTTACAGTCGTAATTCTTCTGATGCCTTACGTCAATTTCAGAATTTCCAGTTTGTGGGCTCCAGCTGCCTCCTCCTCACCATAGTTGTGTAATCTCTTCAAACATCCAGCCCCCCAAGAGAATGGTCTTAGGGCTGTCCATTTCTTCCTGGAAAAAAGGCCTGAACCATCCCCATTTCCCACTAACCTTCTCCATGGGGCTGACCTCGTGAACTTTGAACAGCTTCTCCTTAACTCCTCTTGCTTTTTTCAGGTCAAGGATTTTGTCTGTCTCTTTGTCTGGTATGTGGAACATTCCTTCTTCTAGTTGTATTCAAGCATCTACCCACATCTCTTTGTCCAATACGCTGATGACATCATTGGTGCTGCTTCCTCTCTTGTCCAGAATTGGAAACATTTAACAATTTTGCTTCCAAATTCCACCCCGCTGTCACTTTCACCTGGGCCATCTCTGACTCCTCCATTCCCTTTCTTGACATCTCTGTTTCCATTTCTGGGGATAGGCTGGCCGCCAATATCCATGACAAACCCACCAACTCCCACCGTTGACTGTTCATCCTCACACCCTGCTTCCATTTGTCCAGATTCTCCATCTCTATCACAGCTGTTCCAATGCTGCCAGGGGGCCTCCGAAATGTCCTTGTTCTTCCTCAACCAAGGATTCCCCACTATCATTGAAAGGCCATTTAGACGTGTCCGACCCATCACTCACACTTTGGCCCTTGCTCCTTCTCTTCCCTCCAACAACATCAACAGGGTCTCCCAGTCCTCACATACCACCCTACTAGCTTCCATATCCAAAGGATCATTAGCTGCCACTTCCAACAACTCCAGCGAGATGCCCCCACCAGACAGACACTGCCCTCCCCTCCCTTTTCAGCCTTCTGCAGGAGCCATTCCCAATGGGATTGCTTGGTCCACTCCTCCTCCAAACATCTCCACGGCACCTTCTTATGCAATTGCAGAAGGTGTAATGCCTGCCCACTTACTTACTGCCTCCTCACTATCCAAGGCCCCCGACCCTCCTTGAAAGTGAAACAGCGATTTACCTACACTTCACTCAATCTAATCTGCTATATTCGCAGATCACAATGTGGTCTGCTCTACATTGGGGCGACAACATGCAGACTGGGTGACTGCTATATTCCATCTGCAAAATTGAACCTGAGCTTCCTGTTGACTGCCACTTCAACATACCACCATGTTCCAGTTCTTTCTCAGGCTTACTACAGCACACCAGAACAGCTGGAAAAACAGCATCTCATTTTCTACTTGAGGACCCCGTAGCCTTCTGGACTCAATATCGCGTTCAATAATATGAGGGCCTGAGCGCCTTTTCCCATGTCCTTACCCCAACTCCAACACACCAGACTCTGTCATCACATGGGCTGCTAACACAAATAATCAATTGTCAGCCACTAATGGTCCTTAGTAGCAGCTATTGATTCTCTCAGGCTGACCTTTACCCATTCCTTTGTCTGCCCAACTGATTTTCTCTCTCTCTATGCGTCATCTCCCCCTATTGTTTACTCCTTCCCCCTCTCCCCACCCTATCTTCAGCATATATACCAACTTTTTCCAGCGACAGATAGTTCTAAAGAAGGGTCACTGGACCCAAAACATTAACTCTGTTTTCTCTCCATAGATGCTGCCAGACCTGCTAATTTATTGAGCGATTTCTGTTTTTGTTTCTAATTTCCAGTATCTGTAGTTCTTTGTTTTCTTTGTGAAAGTGAGACAGTGGATCCTCCCTACTAAGAGCAAAGTATGCAAGATACAAACAAGACAAGGCTGAGGAGGGAAATGTAAGATAAATGGAGAACAGACATATTGCAATCAGTTTCTGAAGTTGTGGAATTCAATTTTGATACCTTGAGGCTGTAAGATGCCTGAAGTGGAAAATGAGGTGTTGTTCCTTGAGCTTGCTTTGTGCTGCATTGGAAATTTGCAGCAGGCCAGGACAGGAACGTTAGCATGACAGCAAGATGGTTTGTTGAAATGCTAAGCAACTGGGAGGTCAGGGTCATTCCTGCAGACAGAACAGAGCAGTCACCCACTCTGTGTTTGGTCTCGCCAGTGTAAAGGAGACCCCATTGTGAGTAGTGAATACAGTAAACTAATCGAGTGAAGGGTAAGTGAAATGTTGCTTCACCTAGAAGGTGTATTTGGTGCCTTGGACAGTGAGGAGAGAGGAGGTGAATGGGCAAGTGTTACACCTTCTATGATTGCAAGGGAAGGTGCCATGGGAATGTGACGAAGCATTAGGAGTGATGGAGGAGTGGACCAGGGTGTCACAGAGGGAATATTCCTTGCAGAATGCTGACCGTGGAGGTGGAGGGGATGATGCGTTTGGTGGTGGCATCCTGCTGTAGGTGGTGGGAATGGCAGAGGATGATCCTTTGAATACACAGACTGGTGAAGTGGAAAGTAAGTAGGTTGGAGAGTAATCACAGAATCCAGACTCTAAAAGACAAGGTTAAATGCTACAGGACAAATCTGGTAGGTTAATCCCCTGGAGACAAAGGCTCAAATTCCACTATAGTAGACAAATAGGAGGCTGAAAGAACACAGCAAGCCAGGCAGCACCTGGAGGACATGAGTAGTCAACGTTTCGGGTATTACCCTTCTTCAGGACTAGATGTGAGGGTCGGGAAGCTACAGATAACAGTTGGAGGAGCGATGGTAGTAGAATGGTGCTGATAGGTGGACACTGGTAGTAGGTACGACCTGGTTGGTCGATGGGAGGGATGAATCCGTTTGATGACTGGAAAGGACGGTCAGAAGGTGGAATGGAAGGGAGGAGGTGGGGCTGGAAAGGGAGCCAAGGGATAGGTGGGAAAGTTATTTAAAATTGGAGAACTCAATGTTGAGTCCTCTGGCTGTAGGGTGCCCAGGCTGAAGTTAAGGTGTTGTTCTTCAAATGTGCATTCTGAGTCGCTGCGACACTCGAGGAGACTGAGGACGGACACGTCAGAGGGGGAGTGCGGCGGGGAGTTGAAATGGGCAGTGACCGGGAGGTTAGGTTGGCTGTTACAGGCCAGGTGAAGATGCTCGGCGAAACAGTCACCTAGTCTTTGTTTGGTCTCACCACATAGAGAAGACCATATTGGGAGTACCAGATAGAATAAACTAGGTTGAGTGAGATGCAGGTGAAGCTGTGTCACTTGGAAGGACTGTTTAGGGCCCTGAATGGAGGTGAGGGAGGTGGTGTGTGGGCAGGTGTTGCATCTTTTACAGTTACAGAGGAAGGTACCGGGTGGGATGGAGTGGTTGGTGGGCAGTGTGGCGCGAACTGAGGAGTGACGAAGGAAATGGTCCTAGCAGAAGGCAGAGAGGGGTGGGGAATGGAAGATGTTCTGGGTGGAGTTGGCAGAAGTGTCTGAGGATGATACGTTGGATGTGGAGGCTGGTAGGGTGGAAAGTAAGGACAAGGGGGACTCTATCTTTATTATGTTTGGGGGGTGTGGTGGTTAAGAGCTGTGGATCGGGGAATGGAGGAGGTGCCAGAGGGCTATTTGGATGACAGAGGGGGGAAAAGAACTGTGTTTGAAAAAGGCAGACATCCGGGATGCTTGAGAGTGGAACATCTCCTCGTCAGAGCAGATGCAACGGAGACAGAGGGATTGGGAAAATGGGATGGAGTTTTTGTAGGATACAGAGGTGGGAGGAGGTGTAGTCTAGGTAGCTATGGGAGTCTGTGGGTTGAGAGTAAATGTCAGTCTGTAAACTGTCGCCAGAAATGGAAACGGAGAGGTCAAGAAAGTGGAGAGAGATGTCTGAGATAGACCAAGTGAATTTGAGGACGGGATGGAAGTTGTTTCTGAAGTGGTTGAACTGATCCAGTTCAGCCTGGGCGCAGGATGCAGCACCAATGCAGAGATCAATATAATGGCGGAAAAGTTGGGGAACAGTACTGGTGTATGTACTGAAGAGGGACTGTTCGACATAACCGATAAACAGACAGGCATAGCTGGGGCCCATGCAAGTACCCATGGCAACCCCCTGGATTTGGAAAAAGTGGGAAGAATTGAAGGAAAAGTTAGAGGGTGAGGACTAGTTCAGCGAGGCAGTGGAGAATATTGGTTGGGGGGGAAACTGGATGGGTCTGTTGGAGAGGAAAAAACTGAGGGCCTCTAGGCCATCCTTGTGGGTAATTCAACTATAGCAGTTGGTGAAATTTAAATTCAAATTAGGTTGTAGACTTGTTCGCTGAGCCAGTGTGTTTGATTACAAATATTTTGTCACCGCACCTATGAGCTTGGAGACAGTGGTGGGGGAGATCACCAGATGAAATGAGATTAGTGACCGTAGTGAACTCAACAGACTGGTGTCTGGTGGTGGACTTATGGTCCGGAGAAATAGGAAGAAGTGCCTGAGAGCCGACGCTCAGCCTCTTCGATGCAGAGATCAGCATGCAGTCAACAACAGCACCACACTTGTCGGCAGGTTTAATTACAATGTCAGGGTTGGATCTGAGGGTGCAGAGTGCAGCCAATTCCAAGACAGCTTTGTTCGAATGGATGAAGCGGGTAGAGAAATTAAGGGGACCAATGTTATGTTGACAGTTCTTGATGAACAGGTCGAGTGCAGGTAAAACGCCAGCGGGCAGGGTTGAGGCAGAATGTTGGAGGCAGATGAGCACTCCATGCTATGCTGAGCAAGCTGTAACTGCAATATAGATAGGGGCTGACTTCATAGTTACTCATGAACACCGTCTTTGAGTCTGAAAAGCTAATAATATTTGCAGTAAAAAAGATTGGACAGTACTTAAAAAAGTGTGTTTAAGTTATTTCAGTTTCTGTCTTAATCCAATCAAAATAATGGTTTTCACTAAGTGCAAGTTTAAATTAAAAGTAAATAAAAATTTCCTTTTAATTTCCTGGTTTGCTGGCTGTGAGAATCTTTTAGTATGATTGATGGATTTCTGACAACACTGCTGCTGCATCCTTGGACAGCCCCTTGACTTATTACAGATTTAAACACCCATTAGGAGAAGAAAGCCTCAGTGATTGAGAAGTTTGGTAGGAAGCTTTATTTGAGGTCACTGGTAGGTGCAATTTCTTTGCTGCAAACTTTATAATTCACCCTTCCTTTCCCTCTGGGTTAACTGTTCTTTCCTGCTCTACCCCTAGAATGACTGAGGAAGGAGTGAAGAATGTTACAGTTCTGTTTCAGGCCTAGCACACTCTCCACATCACCTTAAGGTATCATGACAAGTGGGTAGAGTGGATAAGAAGGCATATGGGATAGTTACCTTTATTTGTCGAGGCACAGAATTTAAGAGTGGGGAGGTTATACTGAACTGTATAAGGCATTGATTAGGCCACAGCTACAATACTGTGTGCAGTTCTGGAATCCACATTATAGGAGGGATGTCAATGCACTACAGACGGTGCAGAGGAGACTTACTAGGATGTTTCCTGGGTTGGAGAGTTTCAATTATGGAGAGTGAAAAGGACAGACTGGGATTGTTTTCCTTAGAGCAAAGGAGACTAAGGGGGGCATGATTGAGATGTATAAAATTATGAGCGGCATTGATTGGGTAGACAGGAAAAACATTTCCCCTTGGTGGAGGGGTCAGCGACCAGGGAGCATAAATTTAAGATTAAGGGCTGAAGGCTTACAGGAGATGTGAGGAAGAACGTTTTCACTCATTGGGTGGTGACAATTTGAAAAGTGCTTAGATGTGCACTTGCAATGCCAGGTATGTAAGGCTATGGGCTAAATGCTGGAAAATGAGATTAGAATAGTTAGGTAGTTGTTTCTGATTGCAGGAGACTGGAAGGGGGGAAGGGAAGAAGTGCCTTTTTCTTTGCTGTAGATCTCTATCACTCAATGAGGATGCTGAGCTCTTACCTAGGTGTACCACTCCAGGGAATTCCACCTGCTCACTCCTCCCATAGTTGTTGATGGAGCAGACCCGGAATCGGTAGCGGGCCTCGTTGGGAACGCTCTCTCCCAGGATCTCCACCGTTGTGCTGCCCTCAGTGGTCAGGCAGCGCACCCACTCCTCAGTGCCCTGCTCCTGCCTCTCGATCACATAACCCATCACCTCACTCCGTTGGCAATCGGATGGTGATGCCCACAGCAGTGAGGCTACATTGGGCTTCTCACAGCTCATCCATACATTCTCTGGAGTGCTAGGAGGTACATGTCTTCTGGCTAAAAGACAGAAAACACACAACACCTACATGTTATTTATTATCATTGAGTCATATAACACAGAAACTGGACCTTTGGCCCATCATGGCTATGCCGACCAAGAAACACTAAACTGCACTAATCCTATTTACCTGCATTTGGTCCATAGCCCAGTACGCTCTGATATTTTAAGTGCTCATCCAAATGTTTCTTAAATGTTGCAAGAGTATCTGTCTCTACCACCCTCTTGGGCAGCACATTCCATATTTCTACCACCCTCTGGGTGGAAAATATTTTTCTCAGATCTCCTCCAAACTACTTGTAAACCTATGCACTCTGTTCTTAGACATGTCTGCCTTTGGGAAGAGATTCTCATGATCTACCTTATCTTTGCCTCTCATAACTTTGCACACCACAATTAGGTCCATCCCTCGCCCAGCCTGCCCTGCTATGAGGGAAAAAAATCCAGCTATCCAGTCTATCCTCATCACTGAGACTTTTCATCCCAGACAACATTCTGGTAAATCTCTTCTGCATCCTCTCCAGTGCAATCACATCCTTCCAACAGTATGGTGACCATAACTGCACAAAACATTCCGTTTGTGGCCTAACCGATATTTTATAAAGTTATAACAAGACTTCCCTGCTGCTATATTCCGCACTCCGTCTAATGAAGGCAAGAATTCCATATGCCAAGTTCACCACCTATCTGTGCTGACACCTTCAGGGATCAACGTGTACACCAAGGTCCCTTTATTGCTCAGTACTCCCAAAAGACCTGCCATACAACGTGTGCAGTTTTGGTCTTCTTATCTAAGGATAAATGTTCTGGTTGTGGAAGGCGTGCAGTGAAGGTTTACCAGACTGGCTCCTGGAATGGCAGGACTGAGATATGATGAGAGACTGAATCAATTAGGACTATATTCACTGGAGTTTAGAAGAATAAAGGAGTAATGTCATAGAAACCAATATAATTTCAACAGGACTAGACAGGGCAAAAACAGGAAAGATGCTCCCAATGACCACAGAGTGTAGAACCAGGGTCAGATGGAATACAAAGTGGGAAAGTATGAGGTCATGCACTTTGGTAGGAAGAACTGAAGCACAGACTATTTTCTAAATGGGGAGAAAATTCAGAAATCTGAAGCGCAAAGGGACTTGGGAGTCCTAATCTGGGATTCTCTGAAGGTCAACAGGTTGAGTCAGTAGTTAAAAAGGCAAATACAATGTTGACATTTATTTCGAGAGGACTAGAATATAAAAGCAGGGATGTACTTCTGAGGCTTTAAATGGCTCTCATCAGACCATATTTAGAATACTGTGAGCAATTTTGGACCCCATATCTCGGGAAAGATGCACTGGCCCTCAAGCGGGTCCAGAGGAGGTTCACAAAAATGATCCCAGGAATGAAAGGCTTAACATATGAAGAACATTTGAGGACTGTGGGTCTACACTCAATGTAGTTTAGAGGATTAGTAGAGATCTGATTGAAACTTACGGAATGTTGAATGGCCTGGATAGAGTGGATATTGAGATGTTTCCATTATAAGGACAGATTAGCACCTGATGGTACAGCCTTAGAGTAAATGGAAGACTGTTTAGAATGGAGATGAGGAGAAATTTCTTCAGCCAGATAGTGGTGAATCCTTGGAATTCACTGCCACAGAAGGCTGGGGAGACCAGGTAATTGAGTATATTTAAACTGGAGACAGATAGGGTCTTGATTGTTAAGGGGATCAAAGGTATGGAGATAAGGCAGGAGAATGGGGTTGAGAAACTCATCAGCCATGATTGAATAGCAGAGCAGACTCGATGGGCCAAATGGCCTAATTTCTGCTCCTATGTCTTGTCGTCTTATGAGTTATAGTCTAAGGACACAGAGTAGACCACTTAGTACAGAGATGAGGTGAAATTTCTTTCCCCAAAGTATGGCATACCAATGGAATCTCTGCCACAGAAAGTGGTCGAGGCCAAAACATGGAGTGTTTTCAAAAATGAGTTAGATATAGTCTAAGGGCTAAAAGGATCAAAGGGTATGGGGAGAAAGTGGGAACAGGGTATGGAATTGGATAATCAGCCATGATCATATTGAATGGCAGAGCAGGTTCGAAGGGCCAAATGGCCTACTCCTGTTCCTGTTTTCCTTTGTCTCTATGAGGTATAAAGTCCCCATCAACCTGTACAAAGCATTTGTAATTCTCATGCAACCAGCAATCAGCAAGAAACCTTTTTACCAATATATGGAAGTTCTCCCACAATGCAATAGTCTGAGATTCAAATGGGAAATCAGAATTGTAACCTCCTGAAGACCTTACCAAGGCATTGTGACTGACATATCAGGTTTGGAGTAGGTTTCCCCACTCCTGGAGCCGATTGAGAGGAAGAGTGGGGTGACAAAACAATCAAAACTTCACTGATGGTATTTATGAGTGGTCCTGGCCACTCATTTTTCAAATTTATCTTTACCTTCTGGCTAGATTTTTTTTATTCATTCATGGGACTTCGGTGTCTCTGGCTGGCCAGCATTTTTTGCCTGTCCGAAGTTGCCCCTTGAGAAAGTGGTGGTTAGCGCTTTCTTGTACCTCTGCATATGTAGACCCACAACGTCCTAAGGATGGGAAATTGACCCAGCATTACTGAAGGAACAGCGATTTATTTCCAAATCAGAGTGGTAAGTGGCTTGGAAGGGGTCTTGCAGAAGTCAGTGTTCCCATTTATCTGCTACCTTTGTTCTTTAAATGGAAATGCTTGCGGATTTAGAAGGAGATAGCGAGAACTACAGATGCTGGAGACAGAGTCAATAGAGTGGGCCTGGAGGAACACAGCAGGTCAGGCAGCATCAGAGGTGCAGGAAAGTCGAAATTTCAGGTTTACACCCTTCATCAGGACTTGGGAGGGGGAAGGGAGCTTGGAAATAAATGGGAGGGTAGGTGGGATGGTGATAGGTGGTTGCAAGTAGGGAGTAGTGGTGATTGGTCAGTGGGAAGGATAGGTGGGAAAGAAGATGGACAGGTTGTGTCAGGTCAAGGAAGCGGGGATGAGAGGGAGGGTTGGATTTGGAAGGTGCTGTCTAAGGATCTTTGGTGATCTTCTGCAGTGATTCTTAAGATGGTACACACTGCTGCTTCTGAATATCAGTGATGGAGTGAGTGATATTTCATAGAATCATAGAATCCCTACAGTGTGGAAACACGCCCTTCGGCCCAACAAGTCCACACCGACCCTTGGAGCATCCCATCCAGACCCATCCCCCGATAACCCACCTAATCTACGCATCCCTGAGCACTACGGGCAATTTGGCATGGCCAATCCACCTAGCCTGTACATCTTTGGACTGTGGGAGGAAACCAGAGCCCCCGGAGGAAACCCACGCAGACACGGGGAGAAGGTGCAAACTCCACACAGACAGTTGCCCGAGGGTGGAATCGAACCCGGATCCCTGGCGCTGTGAGGCAGCAGTGCTAACCATTGAGCTACCACGCCACCCCCAATGTCGATCTAGTGCCAAAGAAGTGGGCTGCTTTGTCCTGGAGGATATCAAGCTTCTTGAGTGTTGCTGGAGCTGCAATCATCCAGGCAAGCAGGAAGCATTCCATCACACTCCTGACTTGTGCCTTATAGATTGTGGGCAGACTTTGGGTTGTCAGGAGGTGTTACTCGCAGCAATATTCTTAGCCTGGATCCGATCTTGTAGCCACTGCATTTATGTGTCGAGACCAACTGCGTTTCAGGAAAATGGTAACAACCTGGGTGGGGGGGCAGTTGACAGTGGGGGATTCAGTAATGGCAGCATCACTGAATGTCAAGGGGCAGTAGTTAGATTGTGTCTTATTGAAAATGGTCATCGCTTGGCATTTGTTTCGGGCAAATGTTACTTGCCTTTTGTCAGCCAAGCCTGAATATTGTCCAGATCTTGTTTCATTTGAACATTGAAGCAATCCATGTCTGAAGAACCACAAGTGGTGCTGAACATTATGTAATCATTGATAAACATGCCCACTTCTGGTCTTACGATGGAGGGAAAGTCATTGATGAAGTAGCTGGAGATGGTTGGGTCAAGGAAACTACCCTGAGGAACTCATGCAGAGACATCCTGGAGCAGAGATGACTGATCTCCAACAATCACAACCACATTCCGATGTAACTGATAAGACTCCTGAAATAACTGCACAGAGGCCGGTATCTCGTCCCCAAGTCACCCTTTATTTACATGGAGAGCTTTTGACACTCATCCAGCTCCCTCAAAGCAAGCTCTCAGAGCGAAGAGAAACTCAGGCACTCCTGTCAGCCAGAGCTCTCTGATTGGACCAGATTAACAGCCCCAATCAGGGAACTCATATTCTATGAGATCCAATTGCCACAATCACATCCCTTTCCCTCCGAGTCCGAGGAAACAGGCCGGTTCTTTTTATTTTGTAGCTCATCCTGGGGCATTTTAGTACCGGGTTATGTTTCTCCAACTCTGTCTCTGATTCGGGAAACGTGTAACGCACATTTGCTCACCCCTTGTGCCTGGATCATCCAGGAAGAAATTCATTCTCCCCTCAGGCAGCAAAGGCTTTGAGGCAGGAAGATCTGCCATGTCCAACTCAGATTCCAAGGTATCTTAAATATTTGACAGAGAAAGACAACCTATGGGTTCCAGAACAGCTGGAAAGGACAGTTGAGGAGCCAGGCACATTTTGCTCCCGCATGGTTTGTCAGTTTGCGGCTTTCATATAGTCCACATGCTTTTTCAGGACCACTGCACCTATCCAAACTTTATTTGTAACTGGACCTGACCTCGCGTCATCCATGCCTCTTATCCATGCAGTGCCATTCCTATGGTTCCTTCACAAAACTTCATCCCCTGAAGTAAACTGACTCTCTCGCTCAGCGGAATCTTATGTCTGGCATTGGCGTTCCAGATGCCGTTTCATCCCCCCCACCCCCGGTCCGGGGAAGATCAGATTTAACCTGGTGCGGAGTCTTCGCCATTAGTAACTCTGGTGGAGTTATCCCTGTTGTTGCATGAGGGGTGG